CCGATTTTCCTCTTATTATTCGAGCTCTTCTGTACGTACACCTAGGCTTTATTTATGTCTTAAATCAATCCTGAATAGTTTCTCTCCAAACTTATGTATATTGTTACGTGTCGGGATGGGGTTCGAAATTATATGCCAGTTCACGCTTGACAGTTCTTTATTCACCACACAGTTCACACAATTAACACACAATGTTAATTACAAAACACTCACTAAACACTGTATTTCACTATACAAGTCTCTAAACAATTGCACTTGAACACTTTTGTTTCACTTTGATCGCGTTTGGATTCACTCCGAAGTCGCTGTTGAAACTCAACTGACTACGCGGCGCCAATCGCGCTTATATACGCTGTTCGACGCATTCTAGAAAGTACCTGTTAAATTGGGAATTAGCTAGCACCCGCGAGTACAAAGTACCTACTTATACCTACGCAGGTAACACGCATAACTTGTAAACAAGTGCAGATGTCGTTGCAATTTCTCCCTTACGCCGCACTGTATAAGCCTCATTTTAGAATAAGCCGCATTACTCGATCTCTATCTCCTCGGTACTCTGGCAAATTCGATCTCTAGCACTTTCGCGGTTCCGTTTCGAGAGCGTTTGTGACAATATATTAGATGTGTAAATTAAAAACCATTATAAAATATGAAAAATGGGTGCGTGTACTTATGTAGGCGCGTGAGAAGTTATCCTTCTTTGGCATCGTTTAAAATTAGTTTTTAATTGCATGCAAATAATTAATTACAATAAATTAATAAAAAGTCTGGAAAAGGACACAGTCAATAAAGTTCAGTTTTAATTTGAAAAAATAAATAAATAATCAAAATATTCAATTAAAATCGCTACTGAATATAATTTATTAGAACATATGTGATTTGCACTTGTATGAAACTCAAACACGTATTCCGAATATACAAACTAGAAACATGTGGATAAATATTATAAATATGAATATCTATAACTGTTACTTTATTACAAAAAATAAAGATGTGGTCGCTAAAGCGACCAACTTCATGCTGTTAAAATTTTGTGTTACAGTGATGCGCGCGCATCTTAAAATTTCACTCTCATCATTTTTTCATAACGCGCCTAAAGAAGTATAACTTCAAAAATATAAATATGACAATAATTTTCTGAACTCGTGGTAGAAATCATCCACTTACACGCACAAGGGGGTTATTAGGCTGATGATGATGATATACACGCTAATATGAAGGCTATTAACAATGCACTCACCAGAGCAGATACATTTCCGTACAGTGTCCCAGTCGGTGCCGGCGGAGCGAAGCGGCAACCGCTGTTGTTGAAGAATATCCTTCAGCTGCTGTCTCACTTCGCGCACTTTACGCATCGCTTTGGCGTGTACAAAGTGCTCCGTGCACCATTGACTCGAATACCTGAAGAAAGGGATATAGAGGTGTTATGGCGCGAGTAGGGTTACCATCCGTCCGGGTTTGTCCGGACTTTTTGGACTTTGTCCGGCTTTTTAATGTGCGAGTAGGGTTACCATCCGTCCGGATTTGTCCGGACTTTTTGGTCTTTGTCCGGATTTCTAATGTGCGAGTAGGGTTACCAACCGTCCGGATTTGTCCGGACTTTTTGGATTTTGTCCGGATTTTTAATTTGTACATATTTTTGATGTGTAACATCTTTCCTCTCGCTTTCGTGCAATTTGTGGGAGTGATTACGTGAAGTGGAACGGAAGTGTGTAACAGGAAATTTGGGAAATGCGCGCTATTCGATTTGATTTTAGAACATAATGTTCTAATGGCTTCCTTCCTTCCTTTTGTAGTAGGTTTTGTTTCTTTTTTTACTAATATAAGGTGAGGTTTCAAATGTTACACATCATACGCGACTACTGTAAGGCTCGCTTGTTTTTTTTTAATTAGATGGAATATGTGTAAAACTACTTATTAAATTATATCGAATAAGTCAAATAATCTTTATTAAGTTCTCATTAATTTAAAACAAAATATAAATCATCTTTAAAAATCAACAACGATGCGAGCGTCTGCTACTACGCGTATAATATCACTGTTACTAAGTGGGTGATATTTGCATTTTGTGACTAAAATATCCGGACTTTTATCGAGATGTCCGGCTCTGTGTCAGGACTTTTCAAATTTTTAAATAGTAACCCTAGGCGCAAGTACCTACACTTGGTCGCTTGCCCGAATACGAGTGCCAATGGTATTCGGGCAAACGACTAAATGTAAATGAACGGAGCCCGCCCAGGTGATCAGAATCTATATTAAAATGTTTTAGTCCAGGAAATCAATTTTTCGTTCAGTACCGATTTGTACAAAAAAATGGGATAAGGCTTATTTCAACCTCTATAGTCTATTCACATGGCGTGAGACAAAATGTAAACAAACTATAAAAAGGATACTTTTTAAGGTCACCCTTGACAAAAGTAAAGATTAAATACTATTTACATAGGAAATGCAGTGAAACATTAACTTATTTTTTATAAAAGCTGGTACATACATTTGAATAAGAAAATAAAATATTTTACATATATTTAACGTAACATACACATCATAAATTCGTATATTTTTATATTGCTGATAAAAGTATTTTAACAACTTTAGTTGACATGGAAAAAGACCTAAAAACACAATCATTCCCAAACTAAGACGTATTATAATACGACAAAATTTAAGAGTAGACATGATATAAGTATTTTACGTTTGAAATGTTGTATTTTACTATCGGTTGTTTTTTTACGTCAGCCATCTTTACTCTCCCGATCAACCTGCTGACTACATTCTTGTTATTTCCTTGTTTCATTTTTGTTATTTTTTTACTGTTAAATTTGAAGTTGTCTGTGATTGTTTTCTTGTTGAATTGACGTTTTCGTGGCTATAACAATGAGTGGTGAAGCTGGACCTGATCATTGACTAGTAGGTACTTTCTGACATTTAAAAAAGTTTTAATACCTCAGATTCCTTGTTTACATTTTGTCTCAGGCCAAAGTGAATAGACTATAGTTCATTTTCTATATTGTGCTGTTGTACGCTTTTTGTTTTTAGGGGTGAAAACTATCCCTTATTATCAAAAATTATAAAATAAAATTAAAAACCTAAATATGGGTAAAAATAGTTAAAAAATTATTGTTTCATGCTTTAGGATACAATTTCATAATCTTTCAACCTATGTTATATTTTCGAAAAAAAAAAACAGTTTTTAAGCATAGCTCCTTCATTTTAAGTAATAGATTTTTTTTTCAGAAACAATTTTGTATAGCTTTTTAGGAGCTATAAGACTATGTGAATTAAATTAATTAAGATCCCTTAATTTTTAAATGGGGAGAGTTGAAAGCGCTTGAATAAGGTGATGTTCGATATTAAATGTTGGTGTTAAACGGCTATATCTCGCCGAATATACACTGTACAAAAAATTTGCATACAGGGAAAGTTTTGTCATTAATAAATCTATAATTTAGTACTTTATCGTTTTTTTCATACTTTTAGTATTTTGTGAGATATTTTTAAGAAAATGGTGAAAAACACGAAATTGAAAAAAATCGGTTTTCTCTTTAAACTTCATTTTTTCTAAAATTTGGCATTTTAAATTGGTCAAACTTCGTGGGTGTATTAATAGTACATATATAAAGAGAATTACAGAAGGGTGGCGATCAATTTTAATTAGGGGGTACTTAAGGGGTTGTTTTCACAGATTTTTTTCGTGGAAAAAAGCGGATCCCGTCTTATTTTGAGCTTTCTTCGAATAATGAAAATTTTTCTCGTTATTTCGCTGTAAACCTCCCAATTTATGCATTTGACGAAAAAAGCTAAGCATTAATTTGCTGTATCTTAGTTCATATTTGTCATAGAAAAATTATAAAAAACGCATTGTTTTCGTTTTTTTAAAAGCTACAATTTGACTCTCTTCCCTTTTTTTGATAAAATGCATATTTTTTAGAGTTATTTGTAAAAAACCATTTATAAAAGTCGATTTTTTCGTCAATAATCTTTTACTTTCAACATTGAATAACTCAAAAATTATTAGTTTTACGAAAAAAACGTATAAATCATTTTTTTCTTAGAATTACTTTTTCCGTCGATTCCTACAGTCCTTAAAATGTAATAAAAAATTTCTACCCCCGAGATGGGGTGGCAACCACCCCCAAGGCTCTAGCGTACAGCGGCATGATATAGAAATTGATGCTTGAGCTGTTCCCTACCTTTGGTGAATATTTCAAATAAATCCATGGTGGACGAAAAAGTTGCGAGCGAAAATGCTTCATTTCCTGGACTATTTGTGACATAACCTTGATTTGTCATTAGCCTTGAAATTTTTCCTTTTTGTTGCTAGTTCCCACAATCTTCTTACTTTCAGGTCTTTTGGAAACTTGTACCTTCCGTACTCACAACAACAAGGAACTGCACAACACTGCATTTGTAATTTGTTTAAAAAAAGCTTAAAAATGAATATAAGCTAATAGGTATATATTTGATAGAAGTTTTGGGTCAAGCGATTACAGCGCCCCTAGTGGCCAAATTTTGCAGATTTCTTGTCGATAAACTATACGCGTTTCATGGTGGTTTCATGGTGTCGCCAACTCGAGAGGTCCCGGGTTCGAATCCCGGTGGGGGCAGATGTTTGTGTGATGAATACGAGCATTTGTACTCCAGTCATGGATGTTTAATATTTATTTCTATATAAATATACTTATATATGTACAGTATATTATGTATTGTATCCGTTACCCTAGTTGGGATTGTTATGGGATATAACACAAGCCTTATAGTGCTTTCTTTGGGGCTAGGCTAATTGGTGCAAGTGTTGGAAATATTTATTTATTTATCATTTATAAGCGCTCCCACCCGAGAGCAACGACGCAATCAGACCCAAGTTTTGGTCAAGTTATGAGCATTTGCTCACACATTAGTGTGGCACAGCTGCCCCGCCCACAAGGCCCTCCTAACCTCTTTCTGTGTTCCGTGGCCCCCACAGTGGCGACATTAATGGGCTGACGATGAAGATGTAGTACTTACTTGTTGGCCTTCCACTGGTTGTAGAGATGCAGCAGTGTTAGATGATCAGACTCAGGCACCTGGAACTTTTCTTTCACCGAATCGGCTTCCTCTTCACGACCTTGAGGACGGTAGAATACGGAAGGTACTGACAGCATCGATACTGGAACAAGGGATTATGGTCTTAATATCCACTGTACTAAGGAGCTCGATGACGCGGGCGGTAGGTGCGTTCGGCTGCGATCGTTGAAGTTAAGCAACTTTCGCAGTGCTCTATCTTGGATGGGTGACCAAAAATCTTCTATCTCGAGTTCCTCCGTGCTTCGGAAGGCAGGTTAAGCCATTCGTCCCGGCTGCTGCTGCAGTCGTTAGCACCCGCCAATCCGCACTGGGCCCGCGTGGTGGGTCAGGGCCCAATCTCCCTATTTCATCCATAGGGAAGGCCTGTGCCCCAGCAGTGGGGACATTAATAGGCTGATGATGATGAGGAAATACGCCCCTGGCTTAATGTAGCGTTGAATTGATTTGTCGTTTATTTATTTATTAATACTTAATACACAAGCGTACAAAGGCGGATTTAACGCCGTAAGCATTCTCTACCGGTCAACTATATGGTGTTGTGGATAAATAGTGGTAGGGTGCACAACTTAGATGGAAATTACAGAAAGACGAACAGATATAAATATGTAGTAGTCATGTCGCCGTCATCTGGTTGAATCTGCTATTTGATTGATTGAGTAGCGCGTTTATTGAAATTTCATTGAAAATTGACGACATTTACAATACAATACATTACAAAAACTCTTTATTAAACACCACGAAAAACATTGAACATTAAGCACAAAAACATTTAGTACAGGTGATGTAATAGGCGGCCTTATCGCTTAAAGCGATCTCTTCCAGGCAACCTTTGGATGGAGCCCATTTAATTGAATAACTAGGTCGAACGTTGATTGAATAAGCGTCACTCAACCTCCAATTAGTTAGCTGATTGTAACATAGCCCTTTGAACAGAGCGGACGTAAAATAAATAAAGTCAGGTGATTGAAATTTACTTCATTTTTAGGGTTCCGTACCTCAAAAGGAAAAAACGGATCACTTTGTTGTCCGTCCGTCCGCCCGTCCGTCTGTCAAGACCGTTTTTGTCAGGAACGCGTGGAGGTATCAAACTGAAATTCATATCTAATACTCATGTCTACTGTCTCTTGGAGCTGTGAAGAAAATCAAACTTCTACGCCAAAGCCATCAAAAGATACAGCCGTTTATGCCGCAAATTTTCGAAACTCGCAATGGAATCAAAACCTACAGGGTACTTCCCGTGAACTTAGAATCTTGAAATTTGGTACGAAGTAACGTCTTATAGTACAGATAAAGGAAAAATTGCGAAAACTGTAAAGTTTTAGTTACACCATATAATAAAAAAATATTTTAGAAAATTTTAAAGTTACTACCTCTTTTCTCATGAACGCGTAGAGTTATTAAATTGAGTTTGTACGAAACCCTCGGTGCGCGAGTCCGATTCGCACTTGGCCGGGTTTTCCCCACTGCGGAGCTAGTAGTCACCAAAACAAATAATGCGTCAAACAGCAGGAATGAAAAAAAAACTACAAATACCTATTTATTTATTTATCCTATGTCACAACACTAACCTAACCTAACCCCACTCAAACCCAGCTTTTTTATTTTTGTCTTTATCATTGTGCTTCTATTGCGAACTATTTTACACTAGCGAAAAACTCAGTTATTAAAAAAACCTAACCTAACCCACTTATCATGAATCTGCCGTAAATAATATGGTCGGCTATATCCTATTCAACGACTATGCTAAATGACTTGACGAGTTGTCCTTTAGTCATTTAATCCAGGGCTTGTTTACCGGTTAATTTTCAAACTATATATATCATCGCGCTGCTGCCAGTGCAACATTGGCTCCATAGTAATCCTATTTTAAAATTATTAAATATCGACCACAGTATGATTTCACCATCTTAGTGCAAAGATATAAGTTTAAAAATTAAGGGATATCGTTTTCTACTGTTGAGGATTAGTGCAACAAGATAAAAACAGTGATAAGTTCAACAACTTTAAGTGACTTTCTATAGGCGCATATGCGAGAAAGAAAACAAAAGTGATCACGTATTTTCTTTGCATAGTAGTCATCAACTTTATCAGACGCTCCTAATTCAAAATCAGTGGTAGTATTATTAACAAAAACTCCAATTAGTAAAAGTGCTCAGTGATTATTTTGTGAATGTGGGCCGGTTCGAAGAGAACTTTTGTTAGTTACCTGCCTATCGTTCGTATTTGTATAATTGCATCTACATACTGAACGTTAAATTTGTCACAGTTGATAAGGATTCGTTGGCGTCGGCGAGTTAATACAAGTGGACTAGCGTCTCCAGAGGCCCAACGTTCAAATCACACCACCAGTCTCACTTTTTTTTTATTAATTGCTTTTTTTTTGCTTGGTTTTATGACTTTTTTGTATTATCTTTATTTGCTATATATATATATATTTACTGGGTGAAAAAATAGAAGCAAAAATTTCGAATCGAACTTATGCACTTGAAAACATTGATGGTGTATTATAAAATATAACATTCATTATCACGCTCTAGCTACTACTGTGCGCGTATACATGTGCGAAGCTTACATTGCTGTCCATCATTCATTGGGTTTATTACACTTCCATCGGTTTCATACATTTTACATTACCGCTTTACGCTTAATATCATCACATCCACAATGCACTGCTTGGCTTGTAATAAAACAGTCAAACACACAGAATTACTCAAGTGCGCTGCTTGTAAGGGATGTTATCTGTATCTTTGTCTGAATTTTGCAACTACTTATTATAATGATAATGTCAAGGAATTAAAACGATCATGGCATTGTGACTCATGCGCAAATATCACAAGGAGAACGAGAAATGATGATACGCCCGTTGTATCTCCATACAGACAACATATTGCGTCGGCGACTTCTGTACCTTCCGCTACTTCTCATCAACTCGACATGTCATGCGACGAATCACCCATCAAAACTGGTACTTTGTCAACTAGATCAGCTAATAAACAAGCACATAAGGTACCTACCGAAGCTGCCATAAATTTTGAACAGTTTAGTCAGTTAATTGACTCAAAGCTGGACAGCATCAGGGCGACACTATCTTTGGAAATACAGGAAAGAATTAAATCCGAAATAAGTACAGTTACTGAAACCCTGAAGAAAGAATTTACTGAGACGACTGACTTTATATGTGGTGAGCAGACAGACATAAAAATTGAACAGGCGTCCATTAGTGAAAAAATATCAAGACTCGAAACGGAAAATGCTAAACTCCAATTGGATATTGCCAAACTTGAATCGCGTCTTCGACAGGCTGAACAAACTTCAAGAAGCTTTAACGTCACCATACAGTGCATTCCTGAACATCGCAAGGAAAATGCAGTTGCCCTATTCAAAAAGTTGTGTGAAGTAATAAGATTCCCTATTATGGAAAATGAGATTCGCTCCTGTCGTCGAGTTGCCAAGCTGGATCCATCCTCCGACAGACCACGCAATTTATTAGTGACTCTTCCTTCTGAAAGGCGGCGAGATGACATAATTTCCGCTGTAAGGAAGTTCAACAAAGATAATCCCAAGAATAGGCTAAGCTCTACGCATATTGGTGTTAATAGTGACAAATGTCTTATATATGTGGGCGAGCACCTCTCGAAGGAATGCAAGGAACTACATGCAGCGACTCGCAAACTTGCAAAGGAAAAGAAATACAAATATGTATGGATTAAGTATGGTAGGGTTTACATTAGAGAAGATGATACATCTCCTGCACTTTATATTAAGGACATGGCTAGCCTTGATAAGTTGTAGAGATATGTGAGGATGGTCTTTTAGATTAACTGTGATATTTGGCAAATAAATTGTCTTTTTCCTATGTTAATATTTTATCAGAACGTTAATAGAATTAAAAGTAAATTGCAACAATTGTATATTAATATTTTGAATGATAATTATGATGCCATTTGTATGTGTGAGACTAACTTGGATAGTTCATATTCCAACAGTGAATTTGTAGATGACAGGTACACCGTTTTCCGTAGAGACCGTGAAACTGCTAAGTCAACTAAGAAGTCTGGTGGCGGAGTACTCTTAGCTCTTAAAAAAAGCTTTCTTGCTGTAAGGCGACCTGACTTGGAAAGTGATTTTGAGGATCTGTGGGTTGAAGTGCGTGATTTTCGAGGCTCTATATTAAACATTTACCTGGTGTACCTACCTCCAAACCTAAGTGCCAGCGAGTACCAAACATTTTTTGAACACTCTTCTGACAGATTGCTAAGCCTCAGTAGTAAGTCTAAGACAATTATGGTCGGTGACTTCAATATTCCTGGGCTTACGTGGACATCTGACGGTGGCTCCTCCTCTAGTCTGATCCCTGGAGAGGCTTATGACATAAAATCAAAATCGCTCTTGCATTTTTTGGAATTAGAAAATCTGTCTCAGTTTAATCATATACGTAATTCTAACGATCGAATACTTGATCTAGTTATAACTGATCTTCCAGACGTAAAAATTACTGAATGTTGTCCATTGAGTACACCTGATCGTCATCATCCACCTGTTGAAATTGACGCAAACATAGAGTATAAAGCGAATGATATGATTTCCAAAAAAGTTAAAATACCTAATTTTTTTAAATGTAACATGTCTGTATGCATTAAACAGCTTAAGGAAATAGATTGGAGGAGTGTTCTTGATAACGATGACGTCAACTCTGATATCGATTGCTTCTACAACATTTTGAACGACATTATTATGAAGAATACGCCTCTTAAGCGTATTGGAAAGTCGAATTATCCAGTTTGGTTTTCAGAGCCCGTGAAAGCATGTATTTCTGAAAAAAAAAGCAGCTCACAAGAAATTTAAAAAATTTGGGAACCCCCGGGACTATGACGAATTTTGCTTGCTACGCTCCAGGTCGAAAAAACTCATAAAAGATTGCTACGAGTCCTATATCTCCAGTGTGGAGGAGTCTCTCAATGTGTCTAACAAAGTATTTTTTTCTTTTGTTAAAAGCAAAAAAATAAGTACAGCAGTTCCTGATACAGTGAAATTTGGCGATAGAATTGCTACAGGTGGCCAGGCAGCGACGGAGCTATTTTCCGATTATTTTTCCTCAGTTTTCGTGCCTGAAGTTGGTAGTTGCACTCTTAGAGAGGATAAAGTCTATCCCGGTTACTCTTTGACATCGATAAGCATTTTGGAGGAAGACGTACTTAAAAAATTAAAAGATTTGTCTGTAAATAAGGGTGCTGGCCCTGACGGCATTCCTCCTCTTTTCATCAGGAGCTGTGCGGCCGCCTTATCCTTACCTCTGCATATTATTTTTAACAAGTCATTACAAAGCGGTATCTTTCCAGACACATGGAAGTTGGCTCATATTGTACCCATACATAAGTCAGGTGATCCTAGCGACTGCTCTAATTACAGACCTATTAGCATCTTGTCCAGCTTCGCTAAAGTGTTTGAGTCTTTGGTCTACTCTCACCTTTTCCATCATATTAGACCTCACCTTCACCAATCGCAACACGGTTTTGTGGAGGGAAAGTCGACGGTTAGTAATTTGATGGAGTACAGCAGCTATATCTGTAAAGTATTCGACGACCACGCCCAGGTGGACTCTATATACACGGACTTTAAAAAAGCGTTTGATAGAGTCAGCCATAGAATTCTGCTTTACAAGTTGAACTGCTTGGGGGTGCACGGTAATCTCTTTCGCTGGCTGAAATCCTACATTTTAAACCGCAGTCAGTTGGTTGCTTTGAAGGGATATCGCTCTCAGCCTGTCTCCATAAGTTCTGGTGTTCCGCAGGGCTCGCATTTGGGACCTTTACTTTTTGTCCTGTTCATTAACGACCTAATCCCAAAACTAAAAAATATGTCATTACTGTATGCGGATGACTTGAAAATATTTAAACGCATAGATTCGGTAAGAGATTGCAGTCAGTTACAAACAGATATCATGACTTTGTTTGATTGGTGTAAAGACAACGGCATGTGTCAGAGCATCGAGAAATGCTTCGTGATTTCCTTCACACGTAAGCGTGATCCTGTAATCTTTGACTACGCCATGGGTAATAATTTTCTTGAGAGAAGGTTGGTAGCACGTGATTTAGGCGTATTATTTGATGATAGGATGAGCTTTAATCATCAATGTGAAGCGCTTTCCAGGAAGTGTAGGAAGTTGGTTGGGTTTATTTCTCGTGTGTCTAAAGAGTTCAGGTCGCCAAACAGCTTGCTTTTATTATATAAATCGTTAGTGCTCAGCCAACTAGATTATGCTTCGGTAGTTTGGTCACCGCAATATAATAAATATATTGACTTGCTTGAATCAGTTCAAAGGCGCTTTCTTAGAACGTTGACACTGCGATTTGGCTATAAAAGTAAATTAACAAATTATAATGAACGTCTGCGCTTCTTTGGATTGAAGACTCTCGAAAGCCGACGCAAGGTTCAAGATCTCACTTGCCTACATAAGATCATTAACGGCTCTATGTCGACAACTCTTTTAAACGATTTTTATATCAAGGTTCCAAATAGATCTGTGAGACGAGAGTGTCTTTTCTCTGTACCAATTTGTAATAATAATGTTTCCTCACATAATCCTACTTATAGAATGTGCCGGGAATATAATGATTTACTGTGTGGGTTGGACGGAGTACCTGACATCTGCGGTCAATCGCTCAACAGTTGGAAAAACAATGTGAAAAAATATATTAATTAATTAATACCATTGATATAATCATTATTACAATTGTTTAACAATATCTAAGAAATTCACGTGTTTTTTTATTTAATTTAATAATGTCTTTATTTATAATTATTTTAATTTTATATTTCTAATTTGATTAATGAATTGTGCATGTCTTAATCTCATTAAAATTGTTATTAATGAATTCTATGTTAATGTAATTGTTAATTTTTTTAATTTTTAATGTATGGTTGCTGTGTACTTGTATAAACATGCTGTTTGCACATGCTAGTGGAGTTCAGTATTTTTTTTTATCAATTGTTTTTCTATGTGTCATTTACCATTTTGCTTGCTGTAACTCTGTTTTGTGCAATAAATAAATAAATAAAAAAAATAAATAAATAAAATAAACCTAAATCAGTGTCAGGTACATTAGGAGCGTTTTATGTAGGTTCGGCTCTACCTTAACCTTAAAAAACCGGTTTTCCTAAAAAGCGAAATCAAATAGGTCTTGAATCAATTTAGCGGTTTTTAAAGGGGTTCACTTCGCTCTTACTGACGGCTGAAGTAAATACACAACTACAAAATGAATAACTTGACTCACTAGACGCTAGCAAACGTGTCAAGAAATGCATCAATCTCTGAGCATTAACAAGTTATGACTTTATTAGTTCAAATAAAACAAACTTCAAGCGATGCCGACGCGTGCACGTGTCGCTCTGGATTAAACCGGTTTATTAAGGTTTTAGGTACCGCTTTCATTTCGGACGCGCTCCGAACGAAACCTTTACTAAAAACCGGTATTAACCTTTATTTACCGGTATTTTTGAAACCAGTTTCAAGCTCTGATTCAATCAAATAGCAGATTCAACCAGATGACTGCGACAGTCATTTATAATAATTACACATACATAAATAAGTACAACATATAAATAAATTAATATATATAGATATTCGTTTCTGAGTACGGTTGATAAATTTGAATTAGGTTTTAGATTCTCACCAATGATAAGGACTTCGGCGCTGCACCCCATCTCGGCAGAAACAATCAACATATGACACTGCGGCGGATCCAATGGGAACTCCGCCATTTGTCGTCCCAAAGGAGTTAGGGCACCCGTTCCGTCCAAAGCTCCCAGGATCCATAGCTGGTACATCGAGTTCAGGATCGTGTCCTAATAAAAATACATAAATATTAAACATTATGAAGATAGTTCTAGTACCCTAAGGATTGTCAATAATTATGTCAATAACGTCAGGGGACGGTCATCGTCATTAAATAAATCAATAAATATTTCTAACACTCACATCAATTAGCCTAGCCCTAAAGTAAGCACTGTAGACTTGTATTATGGGATCCTAGGGTAACGGATAGAAAACATACACTGATACATATATTTGTTTAGAAATACATATTAAACATCCTCTAGACTGGAGTGCAAATGCTCGTATTCATCACACAAACATCTGCCCCCACCGGGATTCGAACCCGGGACCTCACGAGTAGGCAACACCTTGAAACCCGGCGTACAAACCTCTCGGTTACGTCGTCGTCGTCGTTTAAATGCACTGTCAAATAATGTGAATAATAGGGGTGATGACGGGGTACAGTAAACGAAATTCTATTTAGTCCGTCAGTTAGATGATCAAAAAATAATGGACACGTATTTTTTCTTTGGGCAATCAACCAAAAAATGACAAAGTTATAGCGCGTCAAAGTTTGGGAGTAGGGGCTCGTGACGTCACTTTTTAGTGAATATTCGCTTGAAAGTGTACTCAAACGTGACGTCATGCGACTTTTCAAATCAATATATCTCTGCAATGTTTATATTATGTGAAAAAAGAAAAAATACGTGTCCAATACTTTTTGATAATGTACCTGATAAACGAAGAAAAAAATATTAGTCATCATCCCTATTGCTACTATACCTATTATTAGGTGTGCATGTTGTGTAGAGTATAGAATGCATCGTTTCAGAATGAAAAATTAATTTACACAAACATGCTTGGCAATTTGAGCATCACTTTGTCAACCTTCTTCGAGATTAATCGATATTGCTGTACTGGCCAGAAACATGCGATCAGCGGGTGGAAAAGTTGTATGTAAATCTATAATTGTCGTGATTTGGCGGCCAAATTAAATAAAAATAACACAGTAAACTCATATTTCACTCAAATAAGGAGCTCGATGGCGCAGGTGGTTAGCGTGTTCGGATGCGATCGTTGAAATTAAGCAACTGTCGCAGTGGTCGGTCATTGGATGGGTGACCAAAAATTTACTATCTCGAACTTCTCCGTGCTTCGGAAGGCACTTTAAGCCGTTGGTCCCGGCTGCATCTGCAGCCGTTAGCATCCACTAATCCGCACTGGGCCCGCGTGGTGGGTCATAGCCCAATCTTCCTATTCCATCCATCCTCCTGTGCCCCAGCAGTGTGGACATCAATAGGCTGATGATGATGATGATGAAACTCATATCCGCCGTGTACTTTAAATGGTTGCGGGCGAGCGCTAGTATCTTATATACATTCACACATACACACAAATAATAATAATAATATTTCCAACACTCACACCAATTAGCCTAGCCCCAAAGTAAGCACTGTAAGGCTTGTGTTATGGGATACTAGGGTAACGCATAGAATACATATACTGTACATATATAAGTATATTTATTTAGAAATATATATTAAACATCCATGACTGGAGTACAAATGTTCGTATTCATCACACAAACATCTGCCCCCACCGGGATTCGAACCCGGGACCTCTCGAGTAGGCGACACCATGAAACCCGGCGTACAAACCACTCGGCCACGGAGTTCGTCAAATATATACCTTTATATATATAATTCTTCTGTGAGTGTGTATGTCACTGAACTTCTCTTAAACGACTGGACCGATTTTGATGAATTTTTTGTGTGTGTTCAAGGGGATCTGAGAATGGTTTAGATTCACAATTTTGTCCGCTGGACAATGTTTTTTTAATTAATTTTTAATTTATTAGTAGTTGTTGATTTTGGAATGTTTTACATTGGATCCGACAGACGGCGCTACCATACTAGACAGGACAACGTCTGTCGGGTCCGCTAGTATATATATATATACCTGGGGTGGTGGATCCATAAAGTGGAAGCCCAGCAAATCTTCTACTCCAAGTGACTTGAGCAAGAGGACAGTATTGGCAAGGTTTGTTCTTTGAATCTCCGGCACAGTGGAAGGCAGTAGATCGTGTTGGTATTGCCGTTGGGTGTACAGACAGAACGCTTTACCCGGCCCGGTACGACCGGCTCGACCGGCGCGTTGCCGGGCGTTCGCTTGGCTTACCGGGTATATCTATAATATGAGAATTCGATCATTAGATTTGATCATCAACACATATAATAAAATGGTAGGAAAATCAAAACTGTACATTGAATATTTTTTTAAAAGAATACTTGGGATGTGATCTACAATCGATACCGAAGCCAAAAAGGCTTACGAAATGTATTAGAACATTTCTGAAGATCTTTTTATGTTAGAAGATCATCGCACGATCGTGTCAATTAGGACGACGACGGTCTAAAATCACTATTTTAACAAAAACAATAGATACGATTTTATTTATTTTTTTAGCATTTAACTGCTAGATGTTTAAATCTAAAGAAAAGTTTACTAGAAAAAAATCCACGCGGACCAGGCAGCGGACGGGACTCGAACCCGCATCCTTCGCTATCCGGGCGAATGCACTGACCATTATGCTACCACGGCCCTATTAGCCGCGTCGACATTTTCCTAGCCTTAAGCTGCAAGGCAGCGCCATCTCTTCGCATTGTAGGTAACCCACAATGTCAAATGAATACTTTTTCAAGTATTAAACATTTGAAAGAAGAAATAGCAATTATAGTTATGATTTTATTTATTTTTTAAGCATTTAACTGCTAGATGTTTAAATCTAAAGAAAAGTTTACTAGAAAAAAATCCACGCGTACCAGGCAGCGGACGGGACTCGAACCAGCATCCTTCGCTATCCGGGCGAATGCACTGACCATTATGCTACCACGGCCCTATTTATATATTTTTATATATATTTATTATTACCTATATTTTTTTTTCTAGTAAACTTTTCTTTAGATTTAAACAATAGATATAATAAACGTGCAATCTAGTGATATTTTTCATAATATTTATATTTAAACCAAATCTTACAATTTTGTTTTTTGAATACTAAAAGATCATACTTGATACGAAATAAAATGTTATGATGCATGTCATGTCATTTTATTTCCTAATATGACTCCACTAATCATACATGTATTTTGATAGATTTGTATAAGAAGCCGCGTAAAAAAGACCACTTTGATAAATTGTCATTCATGTCAATGAAAAAATATATTATTATCTGCTAGTAATTTAAAAATAAGCGTTACGCCCTTCGCAGCCTATCGCCATTTTTTTTAGGTAGGCCAATTGAATTTTAAAGTAAGGCAATGGTATTTAAAAATAGGGCAATGGTATTTAAAACTAGGGCAATGCCCCAAAATGACCCCTGCCCCAGCTACGGCCCTAATCCCACGCTACATTATAATGTAAATAGTATAATAACAACAACAAAACAACAAGTTGTTTGTTGTTTTCCTTCCGCCCTTCGCAGCCTATCGCCACTTTTTAAGGTAGGGCAATTGTATTTTAAAGTAGGGCAATGGTATTTAAAACTAGGGCAATGCCCCATAATGACCCCCCCTCTCCCCAGCTACGGCTCTGATCCCACGCTACATTATAATATAAATACTATGTTAACAACAACAAAACAAAAAGTTGTTAACATACTGGGGGTGTAATTCCTAAATCATTTGATCACCAGAATACATGGGAATGTTATTAATATTCAGTGGCATTATAACAATGAGCTCACCTGCAGTGCATCCATACCGATCCTGGGGTTGTACACCTTCAGCTTGCAGTACCCGGAGTCTATGACGTACATTATTCCGTCCACAGTTAGCGACGTTTCTGTAAGAACAAAAACCTTATTTGTATCATGACGTTATTAGACGAATTTAAGTAAAGGAAAGTCTTAGTCATAGGAGATTAATTAAAACCCTTTAACTCCTTTTAAATATGTTATTAAGTGGAAATCCTTATTATGCGCTATAGGAAATGAGAATAAGAGAATGCCGTCAAATGTACAAATAGCATATACGAATAACTAGCAACCGATTTGCTTATTTGCGACTTGTTGCTTCTGAAATTGCATGGCGAAAATTGACGCTAAATGCGATCAAAAACTACAAGTCACTATTACTAGCCTATTAATGTCCCTACTGCTGGGGAACAGGCCTTCCTTATGAATGGAATAGGGAGATCGGGCTATGACCCACCACGCGGGCCCAGTGCGGATTGGCGGATGAAAACGACTGCAGGTGCAGCCGGGACCAACGGCTTAACGTGCCTTCCGAAGCACGGGGGAACTCGAGATAGTAAGTTTATGGTCACCCATACTATCACCGACCACTGCGAAAGTTGCTTAATTTCAACGATCGCAGCCGAAACCGCTAACCACTTGCGCCATCGAGCTCCTCAGTACCTCAAAACTACAAGTAATACCACCCAAACCATCGTAACGTAACTGACCCGAAATACGATAATGTTTGTGATACGCTTCCGACCTTCAGAAAAAATCTGAATCAGCTACTCAGTCGCGTTATTGCTTACGTCAACACCCAACTAAATGTTTGATGGGTCACTAGCGATGTTGGTGGCCACGATGCATTATTAAGTATAATCCCGAGACCGCCAGACCTTACTTATTTTCTCATGGACGAAATATGGATAGTCGAGTAGTATTAGTGTGCACAAGGAACTTATATATATACTCGCGAACTTGTGCCTTGGGCCAATTTTCAGGCATCAGCTAAACATATTCTCTCAGCAGTATTTTGTGTCAGACACTTTTAATGTCAAACGTCAAACTTATTCTGTCAGGAGTATTTAGTGCCAGACACTTTAAATTCCAAACGTCAAACACACTCTGTCAGCAGTATTTAGTGCCAGACATTTTAAATGTCAAACGTCAAGCACATTCTGTCAGCAGTATTTAGTGCCAGACACTTTAAATGTCGAAAGCAAATAACACACTTCTATCCCGGTGCCGCCTTCTGGCAAATCTTGGAGGTCGTTAGTGCGGTCAACATTGTATAACTGCTGTTAATAAGAAGAAGTCAAGGTTGATAGATTACCAGCGATGTTGGTGGCTACGATACATTTTCTTTGCCCAGGTGGGGCCCTCTGGAAGATCTTGGCCTGGAGATCGGCCGGTAGCTGGGAGTAGATCGGCAGTACGGTTAAAGGTGGAGCGCTGTCCAGGTCTGCCAGCCGCTCCGTTAGTACCTGAGACAAGAAACATGTTTTCATCATATTTGGGCATGAAGGTAGGGCAGTCCACATGTGAGTTCCCAAAACGATATCGCAGTGACAACTTGATTTATAGTTTTCAATCATACATTTAAATTCTGCAAAATTATTCCTCGAGGCTATGACTGCTCGCCTGTATGAGACCACGGAGGACCCAAGATCTGGTAAAGATGAAACGGAAATGCTTCACGAGCGTCACACGACTATATATACAGGGTGTTACAAAAATACAAATAAAGCTTGAAGGGCGTTGAAGTGCATCATATAAGGAGTCTTCTCTAAATTTCTTAAAATATTTGCATGAAGTTTTAACTTTTTATAAAAACAGTTATTTTTAATGATCCTCGAACTAGTGACGTGTCTTAAAAAGATCGATATTTTTATTAATCATTAAAAATAACTGTTTTTATAAACAATTAAAACTTCATGAAAATATTTAAAAAAAAGAAGACTTCTTAGATGATGTACTTCAACGCTTTCAAGCTTTATTTGCTTTTTGTAACACCCTGTATATATATAATATATACATGTGTGTGTGTGGGATGCGTGCGTAGCTCTTCCCAACGAGGATGAAAGTTTGAGGGTAACTCGGCAAAGGTTGAAACGCTATGAGCGTCACGATCGTCACACGCGAAAATATATACATATACCTATATATGAGTGATGCGTACGCTGATTCATTCCCCTATGCCTTGTGCACCGCCTAATGTTAGGTTTAGGGCCGTCTTTAACCTATTGGAGGCCCAGGGCATATTATATAAGTATGACTTTGATGTGGATTATGACTTGAAATGGAGCGAGTAATACTGATGAGTGTACTACTGATGATTTTTCTTTAAAATGTATATGTGCTTAGTTTACCATTATATGTATATTCAAATTTATCTAAGCATGCTGAAGTCGAAAAGCCTAATTTTTGGGCGAGAGTAGAATAGCTTCGCTTATGTAAAAGCTAGTTAGTTGGTATTGTAGTCAGTAATTTAGGTTCGATTATAAGTTTTTCGGTAATAAATATTGGTTATCGTTTGGTGATCTGACAGGAACTAGGGATTTTGTATTTGATCTGAGGGAGGCCCTATCGAGGTGCCCACTAGGAAAGAGGGGTCCGCTCACCACAATGAGGGCTACCGTTTTCTGTCTCACCAGATGGCGCCACTGTTGTGTGAGGTCCTTAATTGTAACTTTTAATGTTTATTAATACGCACATGAAATCAAAGGTTACATTTAGATCGTATTTTAACACAGAAGAACCATATACTAAACATAATAGGCCATGCCACAGTGACGCGCAGTTCCGTTTTATTCGGAAAAAATGGGAACATAATCATTTTTCTAAGCTCAAATTCTTAATAACTGACATTCATTGCCACATAACTCATATTTGCCATAATTAAGCCGAATTGTTACCAATTATTCACAACATTATTTTAATAAGAAATAAACCCGCGTAGTCAACCAACAAGCAATAACATTTGACATTTCGGAGACCTCACGCTACACTAGCGCCTCTAGCGGCGGATTCATACGCGATAGCCCTCATTGCTTCTACACAGCACTTTGGCGAACCCCGAGGAGGAAGGAGTGGACACGTGCGTAGGCAAATAATGCCATTTGCAAATCGAACGACAAGGGAAAATGTCACCAAACTTTTTTCTTTTTGCGTAGAAATCGCAGTTACAGTATGAAACACGCGGTTAGGCAGCAGAGGGGACTCGAACCTGCAGCCTCCGCTATACGGGCAGATAAATAAATAAATATTTCCAACACACACCAATTAGCCTAGCCCCCACAGTAAGCACTATAAGGCTTGTGTTATGGGATACTAGGATAACGGATAGAATACATATATTGTACATATATAAGTATATCTATATAGAAATACATATTAAACATCCATGACTGGAGTACAAATGCACGTATTCATCACACAAACATCTGCCCCCACCGGGATTCGAACCCGGGACCTCTCGAGTCGGCGACACCATGAAACCCGGCGTACAAACCACTCGGCCACAGAGGTCGTCAATAAGATCGTCGTCGTCGTCAAAGATACACTGATCAATGATGCTACCGCGGCCTTAATGGTCGTGTCGAATTCGATCTAGTATTTCTGGGGGCCCTGGGCACTTGTCCAAAGTATCCACTGGGAAAGAAGGGTCTGGTTAGGTTATTTAAGAAAAAAAAAATCACTTTAGATGTGTAGTCCGTGCACACTTATTTCTTTTTGCTTATCGCATTAGTTTGGCGATACAGCGAAGTAACGCCAGTCTGTCTTCTGATGACCGTGCCCCGCACAGGCGAACATAATGAAATAGTTATTTTTTGTATTATTTATTGACAATAAAAGTTTTAAATATAAAAGATTGTTCCCAACAGCAAATTAGTGCGCGCTTAGACGGGCTTGCTAGGTCGCTCGGTCAGAATACATGCATCTATTTTTTTAGACTTGCAACGAATATTCGGTTATTATTAGGTATTCGGCTGCTTTTATTATAATTCGGCCGAATACCGAATATCTACATATTATTCGGCCGAATACCGAATACTTAAATAATATATTTTGTCATAAAGAAGTAATTGGTAAAATGAAAAATTAAAATCGATTGATTACGTATATATTCATATTATCATTTCTGTTATATAATCATTTAAGTAGTCATTGGTACATAACACAGGTACATAATCATCTTCTGAATTGGAAAAATGGAGGATTCTACGTATTTGAATTATTGTGGTAATCAAAATTTAGAAGGGTTAGGTTCTCATTTCTTTTTTAATCATTTATTTAGTAGTCATTGGTCCATAAAACAGGTACATAATATAATAATTTTCTGTATTAAACAAGTTAACAGTTTTTAATTCATTCAGTCATGTGATGAATGGTTACATAATAGCAATAATTTAAAGTTTACGCGCCGTTTTTGGCCATATTTGAGATATGGCCAAAAACGGCCAAAAAGTTGTTTTTTTTTGTCATTTAGCCGCATTTTAGCTTGAGGGCGGCAGATTAGAACAAAACAAAGGAGCGCGAAACAATCACGTCTGTACAAGTTTTTAGCGCTAAAATCCAGCCGAATACTTTTGCCTAATATTCGGCTATTCGGTCAGGGGCCTCGCCGAATATTCGGTATTCGGTGTACAGCCGAATATACTAGTCGTTGCAAGTTTTTTTTTTTTGACATTGTGTTTATTCCTGTTTCTGGAACTAAAGCTTTTATCAACCTACATTAGCAAGTCCAGCGCTGCGCTATCACTTGCATAAATACATAAACGCCAGGTCGCGACCCTAATAACCAAGTAACCTCTGCACAGATACTCAAAGGCAGGACAGCAAGAAATTATGATTAGGATAAGATGACATACATTCAGCCTACATTTGAATCCAGATCGCGATCATCAGGGCCAGCAGTATGTGTATCCGTGGCACCCGCCACAGATGGCAGCGCTCTGGTCTCTGCGAGGATGGAGCCTCACTCCCCACCGGCTTATCATGATCCCAACAGTTAAAATTTCTAATATTTTCTTAAATATATGTGTGTTAATTTAGTAATTTATAAAGATTGCATATTAAAGTACATTTTTTTTTTATTTCAGCCTACTTTTTAGTAGCTCTATGAACTTACCTCGCACGTGACTTCGATGTCTTCTTGACCCGGCATGAATATAAGTATGTCTCCTTCATCAGGTTGAAGATGGATTTGGAGAGCCTGAAACAGAAAAGCACAACATTAGGTAATTAATGAGGAGCCCATAGGAACCTAACATTTTCCGGGACAACAGATAGCCTTTGTCTCAATTCAGGTCATAAATGCGTAAAGCGTACCAACTTTATCCGTTTCGTAGATTTTGCGTGATGAGTAACACACATACAAACGCCTGAAAAAAATAAAATAACAGAGAATATCACGAGCTCCTTGTCTTTTTCCGAATATATAGATGTGACCATAATAATGTATGTACATACAGTCAACAACACATATAAGTGGTAACCCGGTGTTACTACAGTGTCTCTTATTCCCTTAATCGATTAAAACTTATATGAATGAAACACAGGGTGGTCTGTCATCAGCATTGTACAGTCTCATCCGTCGAGAGGGAATGCCCAGGCGCTTCCGGGCTGCCCCGGCGAGGCCAGGAAGCTGCTGGGTGCGGAGTCGTGGTAGAATCCCTAACGCGGACCCAGCGGCTTCGCATTTGGCAGTGTAGAAGGTATTCGCAGGACTTTTTTAGCGGATATTATGCTGTAAAGCGCTCGTAAGAGTTGCGGGGTCCTTGGCGGTCAGCCACTGGGGGGTCCGTAAGACTTGCGGGAGCCAGGTGTGAGATCCGTTCGGCGGTGTGCCTCTTAAAGGTGCTCTGCCTCTGCCTCTAGAAGATTTTTTACTTGCTTTATAAAAAAAGGCGCTTCCGGGCTACTTTTTTAATAAATAATTTTAATAAGGAGAGGAGAAAGCCCTGTCCGGATCTAAGGATCCCACGAAACCCGTGCCAACAGGTAAGGAAGCAGTGTTGGATTTTTTAGAAAATCTATCTCTGGGGTTTTAATATTAAGACTATTTATTACCAATGCTCAGCCGCGGCTTCTAGTTTGTTAATCTTAATTAAAATAAAACATCTCTAACCGGATACAAAAGATTTAATTTTCTAGTGTTGCTCTCCAAAGTGCATTCCATTTCTTCGCAGTCACTTCATAATCAATAGGGTTGATGACGGGGTACAGTAAACGAAATTCTATTTAGTCCGTCAGTGATCAGTCAGATGATCAAAAAATAATGGACACGTATTTTTTCTTTTCTTTAAACCAAAAAATTACAAAGTTATAGCGCGTCAAAGTTTGGGAGTAGGGGCTCGTGACGTCACTTTTGAGTGAATTTTCACTTATAAGTGTACTCAAACGTGACGTCATGCGACTTTTCAAATCAATATATCTCTGCAATGTTTATATTATGTGAAAAAAGAAAAAATACGAGTCCAATACTTTTTGAAAAACTACCTGATAAACGATGAAAAAAAAAATAGTCATGATCCCTATTTCATGTACTCGCCTACCTACAATTAAAACCCGCAGATTAAAGTTGACGTCATACAGTCATATCTACATGCTAAGATTAACATTTGCACACAATGTAATGTACTGAGCAAACGTGATGATTGGTACGCATGAGTAAGCAATGAGAAAAGGTAGTTAGGGCTTCTTTCAGTAAATACTGGCTTATTTACGTCATAGTGGGTCATATACGTGACTGCGGAAATTTAACCCAACGAAGAATAATAAGGATGTAGGTAGAGTGACGAGCAGTGATTCTTAAACAATATTTTATTCCTAAAGAGTACAATCTCGAAATATAACTTATAATAATATGTGAGAAGAAATCAGCAAGTATTAAAAAGAAAAGTAAAATTTTCATATCAATACCCTTAGCACAAACCAATATCGAAATCGAATAGTTTGTGAGTCCGAAATGTCATTGACAACCGAAAACGTTTTTATGGAAAAATCATTGCCCGCCTCCCCTCTTAACCTAAAAGCCATGAAAACTTTTTTTTTACGAAAACTACAGTATGATGCCCGTCGTAGATTAATAAAAGACACTTGATAGATATGACTCTATAGTGACAGTACGTCAACACGATTAGTTTTAAATATCCTTAGCTACCTTTTAACTTTGTTGCGTGTTGAGTTAACATTCAGGACAAGAACGGTAAAAACTCATTGGATTAATTTGATCATATCTATGTGTGTCAGACGCTTCTTTTTTATGACGACTTTTCATCCGTGTTGACTGTCTGTATATGTATATTTTTATAGTATGGTTCAAGGGCGTCACTAAGGGGGCAGCTTCCCTAGATATATAAGAATGTCATCATCATCATCATCAGCCTATTAATGTCCCCACTGCTGGGGTACAGGCCTTCCCTATGGATGGAATAGGGAGATTGGGCCATGACCCCTCACGCGGGCCCAGTGCGGATTGGTGGGTGCTAACGACTGCAGATGCAGCCGGGACCAACGGTTTAACGTGCCTTCCGAAGCACGGAGGAGCTCGAGATAGTAATTTTTGGTCACCCAACCAATGACCGACCACTGCGAAAGTTGCTGAAATTCAACGATCGCAACCAAACGCGCTAACCACTTAACCACTTGCGCCATCGAGCTCTTCGATGCTCCTCGGATATAAGAATGTAGTCAAATGTAAAACAATCTAAGCTGCTCTGTTTCCGCTTCCTGTACGTCGAAACTCGAATGTATTTATTACTAGCGGCCGCCTACGACTTCGTCCGCTTTAACTTAAGTCTTTTGAAAATCCCTCAGGAACCTAAAATTTTATCGGGATAAAAAGTATCCTATGTCTTAATCCACAAAAAACTAAATGTGTGCCAAATTTCATCCAAATCCGTCCAGCGGTTTAGACGTGAAGAAGAAACAAACATACACACTCACAAATTTTCGCCTTTATAATAAATATTAGTGTGATTATTCCATTCCAATCTCAATTATGTTTATACATTTACATCGTTCATTTATAAATATGGAAAGGCGACGCCACCCACAGAACACAGAAAAAGGTTAGAAGGGCCCTGTAGGCGGGGCAGGCGCGCCACAGTAATGTGTGAGCAAATATTATAACTTGACCTAATTTGGAAACTTGGTTCTGATTGCATTCGATTGTTTGTTGTGGCGTCGTTTGATTGGCTATTATCTATTAAGTGCAAGTGTAGTGGGGGCGAGCCGGCGACATCGGTTCCCGTTAAACGGTTTATGATTTTTTTTTTTTTTTTTATTTTATTAAGGTCAACAAACAGTTTTACAATAAATCTTATTTAAAATATAATAACACCAAGTTTTTATAAATGCAAAACCAACACCGTTAACCACAAGTTACTTTCAATATTTGTTGAGAGTTACTACGTGAGAAAAGTTCTTACATAAAAAAAAATACATATATATTTAACAATACAATTTTTCGCTTATAAGCCTTCTATATTGATATTTTTTTATAGCAAAGATGTCTATATCATATAAAGTGCTATTATATAAATTCATAACACGCTGCAGAGGAGATCGCTTGCCTGCATTGGTACGACATAAAGATGTTGCAAATAGTTGATGTTTTCGCAAGGATCTCATCTGCGTTCGCCTAGGTATTATATAGCCAATTTTATTAACTAGTTCAGTGCAGTCAAACCCGCCGTGACATATATCATATAAAACTATGGCTTCTAGTTGTTGTCGCCTCGATTTTAGGTCTGTTAGTTTATATTGTTTCAGAAGCTGTTGATATGACAAACGAGGTTGACCGCATCTGTACTGCATGCTTTTCATGAATTTTTTCTGCACCATCTCGATATTTGCTACATATTTATTATAATAAGGGTACCAAATACTCACTGCATGTTCTAGTTGAGATCTAACTAATGTTTAAAATAAATATAGATAGGAAGATATATTTTTAAATTGCTTACATGATCGCATAACAAAACCATACATTTTAAATGCCTTGTTGACAATAGTCTCAATATGTATGTCAAGATTTAATTTAGAGTCCAGTATCACACCGAGATCTTTAATTATGGTTACCTTTTCCAAGATGATCAACCTTCTAATCTCTTTCTGTGTTCTGTGATGCCACCCATCATCGCTGAGTAATGTGAGATTTTACCAGGGCTTGAAACCGGTTTCGAATTTACTGGTAAATAAGGGTTAATACCGGTTTTTATTAAAGATTTCGTTCAGAACGCGTCCGAAATGAAAGCGGTAAATATCAAATAATCAATAAACCGGTTTAATTCAGAGCGACACGTGCACGCATCGGCATCGCTTGAAGTTTGTTTTGTTTGAACTAATCAAGTCACAACTTGTTAATGCAGAGAGATTGATTGGAGTCAAGTTATAATGCGATTCAACTAAGAATAGAACCGACTGGGAGCCATATTTTGACGTCATAGCTGTCAATTCAAACCAAATAGGTAGAGTGAGCAAAAAAATGTTGCTGGAGAATCCCTAAACGGGGATCCCGCGGCTTCGCATCAGGCAGCTTAGAGGGTATTCGCAGGGTTTTTTAGCGGATATTATGCCGTAAAGCGCCCGTAAGAGTTGCGGGAGCCAAGTGTGAGGTCCGTTCGGCGGTGTGCCTCTTAAAGGGGCCGTCGTCTGTAAACAGAGGTTTTGCCTGTGTCACATAAAAAAAGGGTTGGTTACCCTATGTGCAGCTGAAGGAGCCTACGGCTGGCAGTTATATTAAAAAGTTAATATTATGATTTTCATATTTGAAATAAGGAATCGTCTGTCTTTTGATTGAAGGTTCCATACAGAGATAAAATTCAGGCACCAAACCTTTCGTAGTTAGATAAAAAACTTGTATTCGCCTGAAATCTAATAAAATCAATATAAAATCAAGTTTCTTTTAATTAGTCGCTACGTCCCCAGGTTCTATCCACTCAGGCTAGAACTCCGCAGTACTTACGATGGAACTTAATTAAAATTTGGAACACTTATTGTTATTTTAGAGCATTTTAGTATCAAAGCTTCATGGCGCAGCTGTGGGCGAAGCTTATAGAATAGGTGAAGGTTGCATTAAATCAAATTTGACACTTGATCGTTAATAAAAAAAAACAACTCTAAACGTATTTTGTTATTGTATAAAATAGGGGTCACACAGGACGTCCTTCGTCATTTTGAAAGACGCCACTTTCGAGACGGCATAATCTAATCTCTATCTTGAGAATAAATTTGAATACCAATAATATGTTTACACTATACACGTACTAACGTTGGTAGCTTTTAACTGAAGCAATATCAGAGAGGAAAAGTAAAATTGGATATTTAAATTTCGCATTATGATTTCGACTCCTTGCTATCCACTGCAGATAAAAACCTTTAAACACGTACAAATGTATTTGTTCGACAAAGCATTTAGGCCACACCCCTTATTTATGTTTTCCAACAATGTTCTGTTCAAAACATGGCGCAGCGGACGCGCCTTTACGTGCCGCGACCCGTTTACGCTACTAATTTGGCAATATGAAAATCAGGTAATTGCCCGTCTTGCATTCAGTCGCGCACGCTCTCTCGCAGCGGCTACACTTCGATACAACGCAACGTGTAAATACTTAAGGTTTTCCAGCAATTTTCCAGACAAAAAGCTCTTTGTGTTTTTCGATAGTACAAAAATTACACGGCAACCATTAGAGACAAGAAAAACGTATCATTTCATTAGTAAGTAAAGTTTTAAAGAAAGTGATGTAAAAAAATTTTTGATTACTTATTTTGATAGTTGAAGAGCGAGATGTAACCTGCTTTATGAATGAGAGTGAAAGAGACTGCTTTAGTGAAAGTAAAGTTCGGGCGGGGGCTACTTGTGCCATTTTTAACCGACTTTTATTTGTTCATATATACTAGCTGTCCCAGCGAACTTCATACCGCTATAAAAAAATAGGGGTAGAAGGGTGAAACTTTAGGGTTATATGTATTTACTAATGCTGTATCATAAAAAAAATAATTAGGGGTGGATTACCTTTAACATTTAGGGGGATGAAAAATAGATGTTGTCCGATTCTCAGACCTACCCAATATGCACACAAAATTTCATGAGAATCGGGAAAGCCGTTTCGGAGGAGTTTAACCACAAACACCGCGACACGAGAAATTTATATATTAGACTAGCTGACCCAGCGAACTTCGTACCGCCCTAAAAAAATAGGGGTTGTCCAGCGGACAAAATTGTGAATCTAAACCATTCTCAGATCCCCTTGAACACACACAAAAAATTTCATCAAAATCGGTCCAGTCGTTTAAGAGAAGTTCAGTGACATACACACTCACAGAAGAATTATATATATAAAGATATATTATATGTATGTTTCAAACTTGACCCCGCCCGACTTCCAAATCATGAACCAGATATTATTTTTTACTTTTTAGTTCCATTTTCGATTTTGATGTCAGTTTTTTTTTTATTTTTTTTTTTAAATGCAATAATGTTGGCGTATAACCTGTCTATATATTATACGTCATTGCCGTTAAACATATTTGCCGACCATGTAGTCCATCCATCAGCCTTTCTCCGTCCACTGCTGGACATAGGCCTCCCCCATAGAACGCCACAATGCGCGGTCCTGCGCTATCCGCATCCAGCGGCTCCCAGCACATTTGACGATGTCGTCAGTCCACCGTGTTGGGGGCCGCCCCACGCTGCGTCGTCCGGTACGTGGTCGCCACTCGAGGACCTTTCTTACCCAACGGTTGTCAGATCCTCGAGCGATGTGGCCTGCCCATTGCCACTTCAGCGTGCTTACTTCTCTTCGGGCTATGTCGTACACACCGGTCCTTCTACGGATCTCCTTATTTCGGATCTTATCACGTAGGGAAACACCGAGCATAGCCCTCTCCATAGCACGCTGCGCGACTCTGGAGTTTTGTTATGAGGCCGACATTCAGAGACCAACAATGTAGGTAGGTGACAAACTCCGCGGTGGCAAACATATTTGATTCCAAATATTTTGATTACCGTGAGTGCCACTTAAGCCGATTAACTTTTGTTATTAACTCAGAGTGCGAGCCAATAAATTTGCTACTGTATTAAGAAAATGTTGTTAAGTGAAATGTTATGATTTAAATAAAGTTTGTTACATTTATATTAACTATGTATTATTTTTCTCTGTAGATTAAGTAGGTAGATAGTTATTGAATTGTATTATAAATCATTTTTTTTACTTAGATATAAAGTCTGTACCCATGTTTTTTGATTAAAGTTGATGCTCACCCTTTTTAGCTATAAATACCTCTTCTAAACGAACTTTAACAAGCTAAGCTTTAATTGACAACTCTCGCTGTGGTCGTATGTGGTTGAATTATATTTTTATTTATTTATGCTTCGTTAGAGGATGTAAAATACCCACAGCACACAGAAAGAGGTTTTTTTTAAACACTCATTTACTTATTACATTTTAAGGTGATGAATATAACATAACTGTGATGTAGAGGATATTTGGTAGAGTAGCCCTATCAAAATCCGAGGCCGCGTCGAGATGCAGCCAGGGAGGTCGAATGGGTGGGAAAGACAGGGAGAGGAGTGGACGGTTTAATAATAGTGAGAGGCGAAAGAAGAGGAGAGGAAAGGAAACGAAACCGAAAATAAATAAAAGGTTTAAAGGATGGGAGTAAGAGTGTAAGGGAATAGGTATAACAATCTTGCATGATATACAGCCACACAGAAAGAGGTTAGAAGGATTACCAAAGACCGTTTGTACAGGAACAGATGTCGCCGACTCGACCGCACTACACTTCCACCTAATAGATAATAGCGAATCAAACGACGCGACATCAAACAATCCAACCAATCAGCGCTCAGAGCCGAGAGCAACGACGACGACGTTATTATTAGAGACCGGATTATATGCATTTGCTAGGGCTGCCATCCGTCCGGGTTTCCCCGGATTTGTCCTAGTTTACAGGGTGTCC